CCCCCCCAACAGAACGCCCTTTAATCTCCACAATACCTGCCAGGGGACGTATACCCCCACTACAGGGTGGAGAGCTGTGACTTTGACAGACATAGCAACTTCCTGGGATCCACAGCAGGAACCCAGGATGCGTAGTTTAGTGTACACGTTCACCTCCCACTATGGCGTCTCAGGGGAGCCCTGACAGCTGTGCCATGGAGGTTATCTCAGAGGACTAGCAAAGATCCTGCCTTTCAGGTGAAACCAGCCAGCCCTGCCTGACCCAGCTCTGCCTGGGGATATAGGGGCCGTGGGGCCTCCCAGGCTAAGGATGTGAAACCTGTGGCCATCCCTGACCTGCTCAAATCACCTGCACAGAGCTCAGGCCCGTAGGCCTGTCCTGAGGGACCATGATGAGGGAGAGAAGATCCCAAGAGCAGCCTGGAATGAAGGGTCACCAGAATTAGTGAAATGGAGGGATGCATGCTGGAGTGCAGGGAGGAGGCCCTTCTGGAATGAAGGCTTCTGCTGACCCAATGCCAGGCCAGGGAGCTGGCCTGGGAGACACAGGGAAGCTCAGGGGTAAGCGGGGGGAGGTGGATGTCGAGCCAGCTGGATCCTTCCCACCAAATGGCCAGCTCTGTTCCTAACCTTGCTAAGCCTTGACTTCCTCACCTGTGAAGTAGACATTAACCCATCTCCCTCCCAAGTGGGTGAGGGTTACATGGGATTGAGTGTGTCTATGCAGTGCACAGCTTGTCACTGGACTCTCAGGAAATGGATGAGTTGAGTTGTTTTGTTTATTTTATTTTGTTTTTGTCTTTGCCAGAGGATGCACACGCTCACCAGAGAGAACAGAAAGAGGGAAGTGAGAAAGCACCTGTGGGGAAGAGTTATGCCACAATGATTCTCCTCCATCTCTCTCTCCTTTTGGGATTTTGGGCATGCACGCACATGCATGTGCTGAAGTATTTCCTCAAACCACCCGGTCTAGGACTCGAATGACATCCATGACATCTCATGGATGCTGTCAAAAGACACGAATGAGATTCCTGGGTCAGAGACAAAGCATTGTCACAGCACTGCAAGTGAGTCAACCCAGGTGGATGGGTGCCTTGAACAACGAGTACCCAAAACTGACACCTGCTGATTGGTGCTGGGTGCCAGGCATGATCTAGGTGCTTCAGTTCATTAGGAGACCTGCTGATGTTCACGACAACCCAACGGGGAAGGTACCATCGCTGCCCTCTTTTCACAGACGAAGATGTAGAAGCCCAGAGAGGTTAAGTAACTAGCATGAGGTTAAATAGACAGTAAGTCGCAGAGCCGAGACTCATACCAGGCTGGCTGCAGGGCCCAAAGGACCTCTCTCTCCCCGGTCCTAAAGCTCATTTCCTGTTTTTCCTTCTTCCTCGCCTCTCTCTATCCCTGCTTCCTAGTTGCTGCTTCTAGGGATCACTGATTACTGACTGGGACAGAGCCCCCCAGAACGGCAGTGTAACCATATTTGGGGACAGGGACTGTGCAGACATAATCAGTTAAGATGAGACAATGCTGGAGTAGCGTGGGCCTCTAACCCAGTGCTAGGCACCTGTATAAGAAGTGACACAGGGAACCCCATGTGGTAAGAGGCAGACTGCAGTGACGTGCAGTGATGTGTCAACGAGCCGAGGCATGCCAAGGGTTGCCAGCAGGAAGCTAGAAGCTGGAAGAGGCAGGAGAGATCCTCTGGAGCCTCTAAAATGAACTGTTACCGGTAGACAGCTCTGAGCAGGGAGTCACAATGTGCCCACAAAGGGGACATCTGACACATCAATCACCGTTACCAGGGATCGTTACTAGACCCCTGATGCCAAGAGGGGAGAGCTTATCTACTTTTATGACCTAAACTTCTTCAAAGAACCTAGAGGAGGTTACTGTTTCCCCTCCTGCATAAGGAATCCACGGGGATGTCCAGTCAACATCCTTCTTCCCACTGGGTAATAAAACAATATGGCAGAATCGTCCCTTTGTGCATCCTTGTACTTTGTTTTTTGTTGTTTTGTTTTAAAGAATTATTTTATTTAGTTTTATTTAATCATTCATTTATTCCATTTTGACTAGGGGCGGGGGAGTAAGAAAGCAAGCCTCCAGGTCCGGGACTCGAACTGTGGTAAGCCATGTGGGAGTGTCCCATGCCTTACCCACCACACCACCTGCTGGTCCCCTCATGCTTGCACTTCCAGAGTCCGGACTGGGCATGCATAACTGAACCAGAAGTAGCAGGCACAAAAAAAGTCTGTGAATTCAAAGAAAGGGGCTGACTACAACAACAGACTCCGCCCTCCTAAATATTCATGATAAGACCCCACAATAAAAGTAATCCTGAACCCCATTCCCAGGGTAGTTGTCCTCAGATAGCTGCCCACTCACACACCTTCCTGGCGTAGGGTGTATTTTTTTCTGTTAACAATCTTTTCTATTAAAATCTTGTTTTTTCCCTTTTATTTTTTTTGGAGAGGTTTTTGCTATAGGGCGCATGTGCTTGCCAGGAAGACAGAGAGACAGAAAGCGAGAAATCACTCCCCAGAGGGGATGGTCACGCCGCAATCCCTTCTCCTCCATTTTCCTCTCAGGATCTTGGACACTCACACACATGCACCTGGTCTGAGTTTAAGCCACCGGGTCTGGAACTCGAACCGTGGTCGACTACGTGGGAGTCCAGAGACATAACCATTATGCAAACTGCTGGTCCCGTTTTTTTCCTTCTTTACTCCTGGTTATGGTTTCACTCAGCTTCCCAGGGTAGGTCTCTAACCTGAGAGGCCTGGACCCAAAGAAATAATATTTCATGAAACATTCCCCAGCTTCTCCAACCGAGAGCACCTGCCAACACTTTGATTTTGGACTTTCGTCCTTCAAAACTGCAAAAGAATACATTTCTGTTTTGAGCCCTCTAGTGAGTGATACCATGTTATGGCAGCCTAGGAAAATAATACTCCTGACTCCCAGGTAAACTCCCTGCACCCGAGCCCTTGTCTCGGGGTCGTTTGTGAGGGAACCCTGACTAGGACACCCCATGGCGTGGGCCCCACTCAGCGTGAGTGCTGCCTGCCTTACTTTGAGGCATGGTCAGTGCTTGTCCTGTCTCTGCTGCAGGAGAGAGAAGTAGGGGGGCTGTCCCTGACACCTGGCCCTCCTTAACTCCTACCTACAGCCTCAGGGAAGAGCAGCCCCAGCGCTCAGGAAACTTAAGGACTCTACATTCATGTCACACATTCCAGCCTTGAACAGAAACAAGGAAGCCTCTGACCCCTAAAGACTTGCCTCACTAGGATGGGGTACATGGAGCCCTGGCTGCACTCCACCCTCTGCCCACTGACTTCTGCCCCAAGAGCCCCCTGTTGCAGGACATGCCGACACCCCCTTCCCACGCAGTTCCTCTGGGCTGCCAACTTTGATCTGCCCCGGCCTCCAGCCTGCTCCTGTCATCACTACCGGAATAGAAGGCAGTGTTTAAAAGCATCAGTTCTTCCCGTGCTTTTTCCTGGCCCTGTAAATATGTGGGCAGAAATAGCAGCCTGCAGGCGGGAGGGAGTGATTGCCGGTTGCAGAATCAGGCGAAGGCTGCTGCCCGGGTGGGCCTTGCTGCGTGGGTGCCTGAGGCAGTCGCAAAGGCCGGCTTTAAATAGCTCCCCGTGGGTACGCACAGCAGAAAGGGGGCAGCCTGCAGGTGGCAAGGAGGGCAGAGCAGAGGCAGGCGCTGGGGTAGGGCAGGGTCCTGGCAGCAGAGAGGTCGCCCAACTGAGCCCAGAGTCTGACTCTGCTTTAAACCTGCCTGCACCTCCTCCAACAGCCTGAATTGGCGCTGATCCTCCCCCACCTGGGGCAGAACCCTGGCTGTCCCTAGAGATGAGGTGGTGGGGGGCACTCCTTGGGGCCAGTCCAGCAGCTGTATTATGTGCCATCTGGGCTGAGGCCCCCACTCCTGGCAGCTCTCTGGGTTCCAGGGAGGAGAGCAGTAGCCCTGCAGGGAGGCACACAAAACAGAAAGGACCTGGCGCCTGCACCAGAGCAGGGGACGTCATTGTCGGACACAGAGCTGGCTGGGCTTGGCCTGCTTCCCTCTGCTGCTGTGAGGTGGCCTGAAGCCCCAACTGACCCAGATCCAGCTCTGCCACTCCTTGACCACCTGCTCTCTGCTTACTCCAAGGTCCACCCTGCTCTGTTTACTCCAAGATCCACCCTGCTCTGTTTGCACTCCTGGTCATCCTGGAGCCTGACTGTCCCACCTCCCAGGACAGCCCTGCTAAGTCTCACAGTCTTGGCCTTTAGAGCAGGAACCCAAAGAGGTAGACTGAGTGTGAAGAAGAGGCATTAGGAGGTGAGGGGTCTTCAAGACAGAGGCAAAGGTGGTAAGTGCCAGGCCATGCTTTGGGCAGAGAGCCTGTCCTTGGATCCAGACTGGCCCCGTGGGAAGCAGCTTGAACCTGCGTTTCTAGGCCCCAGCGACTTCATCGCTCTGCCAGCTAAGTGTGCTGGGGCTGCTGCAGGCCCTGGGCAGTCACACGGGCAGCATTTTCGTGGCTCTTGACTGTCGGGCACTGCAGTAGACACAGAGCCCCAAACAGCTGTTCCCCTAATTGCCCTTCTTGTTTCTCCCATGTGTAATGACCCAGTCAGTGCAGAGGAAAATCTGGACCCTTGTATTAGGAACTGCCTGTCAAACGGTCCAATGGCTGCAGAGTCCTTGGACTGCAACAATGTCACTCAAACCTGTGGCAGTAGTGGCAAGTAGGGAAGGACTGTAGGGTGTTTATAAGCCTTGGTGGCCTCTGAGTTCCCATCACCACATCGAAGGCTCAGTGGACTCTTGTTCCCCTGGGGGGGACTACTTAACATCCAGGCCCCTGTACTTCTGTCCTCCTCCAGATGCGCCTATGTGGCCACATCTTCTGGGACAGAGCCCCTGAAACCCTGACCCCCAATCTCCACCCTTTAATCTCTGGCTCTAACCCCTGGGGCTTCAGGAAAGCATACGACTTTGGGATCAGTTAGCCCTGACCTCACTGTCCTCCATCTGTGAGCTCAGGCTTCCCTCTCCAGCCCCTAGATCTGCTTCTCCATTAGAGAAGACGGCCCCATCACAGACCAGTGGCATGACAAATGCATGAAGCCAGTGTCATGAATGCTTGCTCCTCCTTCCCAAAGCCTCCTCCCTTATCCCTGCTCCTGGGGAGGACAGCCACCTTCTGAGGACTCTGACCCACTGCTTCCCTGGTGCAAGGTGCACGTCCAACTCTAGCTGTTCCGTGGGCTTCCACAGGCTGCCTTCATCCAGATACTGCCCATAGAGCCTGCGTGGAGAGAGCATTCCAGGCTGCCAGCTGGGCTCCAGGCACCAGGAGAGGTGGCTGCAGCAACAGAGAAGGTAACCAGCCGCCAAGCCAAGGCTTTATTTCATGCTGGGACCAAAGAGGCCTCGAGAGTGCCCTTCTGCACCAGGTCACTGAGACAGAGGGTGAGCGCCGTGTACTCCCGCCTCCTCCACATGGCGGATTGCAATCCCACAGAGCAAAGGCCTAGAAAGCAGGGTCACTTTCTGAGTCTGGAAACTCATAGCTCCCCCGGGAGCCCAGCACAGGCCTGGCGCATCCTCCGGTCAGGCTTCTCTGTCTCTCTGTGGCAGACCTGTCTCACTCGTCTGTCGGAGAGCAGTCTGCTGGTCTTCCAGGTGAGGCTGGGGACAAGGCTCAGGGAGGCCTGGTTTTATGTGGCCAATTGCCAGTCCACGAGGCCACCACGTCCTCCCAGCAGCCATCAGACAAGCAGAGGCCTGCATCCTGCCTCACATGGTGTATGCCGCCCAGTAGATGATGTTGACGGCCGCAAAGGCCGCGGGGAACACAGCGCGGGCGTAGATGTCAATGGTGTCTGCATCAATGGGCTTGAACCGTGTGCGGATGCCCCCCTGGCCCCCTGAGCGGGGCCCTCCCTCCTTCTTCGTCTCCCCAGTCTCCACCTCCACCGACCTGTAGGAGCCCATCAGATTCCCAGGGATGCGGCGGCACTGCCGGCGGGAGACCGCCAGCTCCTGGGTGACACCGGCAGCGGAGAGTGAAAAAAGGACAATGGCATTCCTCACGTCCATCTGCAGCAGAGTGGGTGGTGGGGGGACAAGGATTAGGTGTGCTGTAGCCCCAGTCCCAGTCCAGGGGTCACTCAGTTGTGACCTGTAGCAGGCCAAGGTTGAGAGCTTAGACCCC